TGGGGTATTCAACAAAATTTTATACGTGGAGGCTCAACCTAGGCATTGACGGATTGTGGTAGCATAATGTTTGGCATAATTGGAGCAAAAAAGCATAATTTTTTAAACGAGCCCTGCGACGGCATAATTAGCAAATTTTAGCACTTTTTGGAGCATAAATTCATAAAATTTAGTAAATATGGTGTATTTTCTACAGAAATAAATTAAATTTAGGTAGTATGTTCTTGCAATAAAAGGGGGTGGTAGGCCTACACGGCTTTCACCAGCCAAAATGCTGCTTATTGCAATAAAGTTTTTTTTTTGGACGGCTGAGGGCCGAGACAAACTGCTATAAAACACAAATAAATTTACTACAATTGTTTATTTAAAAAACATCATAATTTGGTGTCGTTATTGCACTCCTATATGTACAGAATCTACGTCATTTTATGAGCATAATTTCGGAAATCAGGAGCATAAATTGAGAATTCTGGCATAATTTTGGCATAATTTGGCAAAATTTCGAGCACTGCTAGTAGCGTAATATGCCACTTTTAGAGCACAATCCGCCAAGGCCTAGCTCAACCCCGAGGTCCAACCCTTTACCTTTTATATTCCATTTTCGACGGAAAAGATTCTTCTTTCCAAGAGCCATTATGGCTCTCGTCCTTTCCTATTCCCTTTATTGACAAATGGTACCCCTTTCACATACCAGTTTAGAGCGAAACACCGTGATGACAGATTTCCCTCCCCCTTTCATATACTTCCAATCAACTAGTGATATCCCTACCCTTCCATATGCTTGAACCCCGAGAAAGGTACCCATTTCTTGCGGCGCCTCCCTTTATAATCCATTATAGGGAGTACCCGGGGATATTTGTACTCTGCACGGAGACGTTATTGCATTGTAACAACAAAAATGCCAATAACATCACAGCTTAACTGACACACGACCAATGACATCGCGACGTAATTGACCAATCAGATCAATAACCAGAGTATAATACCATCAACTGACGTGATACAACTCACTTAGACTCTGAAGATGACTACCGCACAGGTTGTCGAAACGTCAGTCACTGTCAACAACAGTCCTATTCAGGACAGACAGCGCAGTAAATGTACTAAGCACACATAAAAGCCTAAAGGAGGACTGTATTTTTCACGTTCAGTACTGGAGATGGGACCGTCATTTCTACGTGTTCATCCGAGGCACGTTAACATCCAACTATTTACATAGCAAAGGGAGTTCTTTCTCATTAATTTGTTTTGAGACTTTTGAGTACTCGTCCGATTTACCTGGGAAAGTGAACCCTACCCATGATCTCCCCGCCCGGCAGACCAGGGGCCCCTTTCTCGAAAGTCCCGATAACTTTTCGGGCCCTAAAATTTCTTTTATGTTTGTTCTGTTTGCATTCAAGATCAAAGTTTCAATAATTTTGAAAATGACGTAACGAAACTATCAGTTAACGAAGTAAAATTGGCTGGTTTGTGAGCAAGGAACTGTGCTACTATTCAACAGGTGTATGATTTTAAAATTTGCCTTTGAAGTCGAAACGTTATCAGGCCTTTCAAGAAACGGGCCCCGGGGCCCGTTCAGGCTGACATTAATTACTGGATCTGACAGTAATTACTGGACCGACCCCCAAAGATCTTTGGTTTACATTCACTATAAGATCGAGGAGATAGCAAAAATGGTTTCAATAGTTTTCCAGATAATGTAATAAACCAATCGCTTAAAAAAAACAGGGGCGTAGGGCGTATACTACCTGCACGCACGGTACGCACGTGTGTACCTGAAAAAGTCGAGGGTACAAAAATTGTATATAATAAAAAAGCGAATTATCTGAAAAAAGCAAATAAATTTAAAAAGCACGATTTTGCGTAATTCATTAAACTCTGCTATTTTTTTTGAAATACTATTTTTTTCTGACGGACGCTTCTTTTTTTATACCCGAATGCGAGTTTCAGGAAGGCGACGTGTGATTCATAGGTAGACAGATATATTTCAAGAAAAGGCGGGAATATTGTGCAGATAGCGGCAAGCCAGATGTACATGTATAAAGCATGAAATTGGACTGGCTTGTTAGCTCTATCTGGCTGAACAATTGTTATTCTATCCTAGGAAACTACTAACCCGCGAGAGGTGTTAGATGAAGGAGGTGGTCTTCTACCTCTCGGTGGTAAAGGGGTTTCCATGTCAGAAAAAATATATATATTAATTTAATATCTTCCGTGATTTATACATAAAATTTTATACATAAGAAGAATAAATATAAGTTTGATATTCAGTTGAATATAAGTTAGTATTCAGCTGAAAGAATATAGCAGAAGGAAAATAGTAAACGTGACAATAGTACAGAAACGTGTTTTATGTGAAGCAACCCTGACCCTAGACATATGGGACGAAGCAGCCTTTGTTTACCTTGATCGTCAAATAAAAAATAACGAAACAGGATGATTAGGTTTAGGGAAACTTTGGCAGGAAGTTAGAAAAAGGATCATTAAGTGTTTAAATATGTTATGAACAGTCCAATGGGGAGGAAGGGGGAGGGGGGGAGGAGATAATAACACAAAAGAAACATGAAAACGTTCCTTTATCTACTCTTGCAAATGAATAAGTTGGTTTGATTCTTGTTTGGTAACCCGCTTTCTTCCCCTGAACTTTAGTTCTGCATTTTATTAATTTTTATCATTAATTCGTCTTTTTTATATTTACTTATTTAATAGCCGGCTATAAAGGCTTTGGTTTAGCGATGATAGTGGAGGTGTTTTGTGGAATTTTGTCTGGTTCAGCAGTTGGACCTCATCTCAGGAAGTGGCAGGGAGAGGAAATTGGACAAGCCGACCTGGTACTAGAAGAAATTATCTCAATTCCTATGGTATCTATGTATTAAATCCCAGCGCATCTGTTGATCCACAGGAGAACTGGTTGTGCATAATATTTATGAGTATATTGAGGAGTTTAGTATAAATGGGTTTATCTTATCCTGTTTTGGATACCAGACACAGGTCGTCGCCTCATCCTTCTCCCTGCAGCGATGGCTTACTTCTGTACCTGAGTTTCTGCTACTTTCGGTCTCTGGACTTACCTCTTGACTTATCTTAACGGTTAGCGTTTGGTAACGGGGGCGTCCGGTGGGATTTTATTACAATGTCCCCCTAAAACATTAAGAAAACAAATGGTCAATTCAGTTCGTGGAGTGTCCAAATGTCTGGTACCTTGCACCATACAAGGGCTGCCTTCTTTATACGTGTATATTAGCGTGATTTATATCCTCCAGCTAGACTGAAAAAATGACCTTTGAGAAACGAGCGCAGAAATTCCACACTACCCGGATCTGGGAGGTGCTTCTGATTGCTTATGTCACGAGAGAAATTTTACTTAAAGGTCAAATGAACCAAAAAATTGACATATTTTCTTTTGTCGCTTTACCTTCACCAAACACTAAAAAGAACCATCCTAAGTGAGATTTGGGTAAAGATTTTTCTTCCCCAGCCTTTATAGAAAGATAAAAGATCAAAATCCGAGCATTTCCGAAAACGTTTCTGAAATGGGAGCGTGATAGACTGGAGACTACGTGACGTCCGTGACGTCAATGTTGGTCTTTCAGGGCGGAAAAACGTTCTGCGCAAGCTTCTGCGCATCCCTTATTGCCTGCGTTTGTTTGTCTCGTTCTGTGAGAGTTCTGACTGAGACTGAATAAAATACACTAGGTGCGAACGTTTGCTCGTTGTAAAGGCTTTTTTTTTGTTTTTGTTGCTTTTTCGTCACTTTAAAATTACTTTGGATTCAGAACAACCAATGTTAGAGTAAAAACCGATCACTGTCAGTCTGAGGTGGAATAAAACGTTTTGAACATTTCCAAAAAGGTTTGTATTTTTCTGATAATTGTGCATTCGATTTGAGTTGATTTTGTGTCTAGTGCTTCGCCTTCTTTCGCCGGGTTGAATTAAAACCTGCTTGTATATTCTGTTATTAGTAGTTATGGTTACTTTTTTTACATGCCCAGATTTATTTACCTTTGCAGAACCAGCTTTATCCTTGTCTTCAGTCAAAGAACCGTAACGGCTAACGCATGCAAGTGAACAAGCTTGTGCGCTTTTAAGCTCTTAAGTTTTAAAAACTTTCTCGGAACTTTAGAAGGCCAGCAAGCTTACTCAAGAAGAAAAGACTACTTCGATCATTTTTCTGTTGCTCGAGTAACAATAGTCAGAGTTTTTTTCCTTTGTTTTTTTCAGTTTTGATTACATAGTTTTGTTATCTTTCTGTACGCAAATTTTCCTTTCACTCACTGTGAAGTAGCGGAGAACGACAACTGCCAGCAGTGACTTCAAAGCTATCGACTCTTTGCCCGTAAACAATTGCTGGAGCTGGATTTGACTGAAGCGAGCAAAACAAATCCGTATGTGCAGTTTTCTGTACTTTCTAATGATTCAGTTTGCTGAGTTTAATTTGCTTGAATGAAGACCCTCGCATGGATCGGACCAGTTATTAAAAGTAGCTAATCTAGCTACGGTATAGTCGGAATCATGGCTTGGCTGCGAAGCTTGCAACTGATCTTTTGCTTTTAAGATCTTTAGGTAGGTTGTTTCCGTACAGAAAATTCACTTCTTCTTTGTCAGCAGGTATAAGAGCCTTAAGCCTTGTGGTTTTTTTTAATGAAAATTTGTTGTTTTGCAACCTTATTGAAGCTTTTTTTAGTTCACTTAAGCTGAATTTTATGCATGATTGAATTGTTCTTTGCTTGTCGTATCTCTTTGCCAGCTTTAAGTGGCGTCTATGGTCCTTAAAGTGACCTCAATCGGTAATTAAATCTTATACATAATTGGAAAGACGTTTTTGCAATAATGTAACTTTAACTTTGTTTGAAGGAAATCTTACTAACGCGTAGGTTTTTAGCAGGTGTTATGCATGTTCAACTTGACAACATAAAGCAAAATTAATCTGCGCGAAACGATCAAGTTTAGAAATCTATGGTTGCTTTGAAACCGATCTTGGGGAAGGTTTACTAGATAAAGATTAACGCTTTTTCTGCCCACATATCAACGCCAAAGCTTCTACATTGAGGATTTTGTTTACATTTTAGTGATCTGCGAAGCTAGAAGTGTCCGATCGAGCGTGGGTTTTAAAATATCAGCTCGAGTGCGACAAAGTTCAGTGACCTCAAACACATTGTGGGCAAACTTGAATTTCTTTGGGCAGATTATTATACAAAGATATTTTGTTTTTGTGTCCACTGTGGAGCTCCGGACCTTATATATCCGGGAACTTCCTCATATGAACACATTTTGTGAATGCATCTTGAAAAAAATCGGACTTACGCACGCACATTTCCAGTACAACTCAAGGAAATTAGTAAATGTCGTTAAAGTCAGTTTTACTATGATGTATTCTTCGAGAAAATTAAATAATAAGAAGGTTATAACCACAGCTTGCGACTTTTGAAGACAAATTGCCTGTTCTTTCCAGGTTTATGGCCGCACAAACCACTTCTGCGCCAAGTCGACGCGAAAAACTCTGTTTGGAATTTCCCGCTTTTTTTCACCTGACCAACATTGACGTCACAAGCTGTTTTTTCCGACAATTTTTCCGACCGCTCTACGAAGATAAGGGCCAAAAAATAGCAATTTTTAATTGCAAATATCTCGGAGATACTGGCTTCAATTGAGCTGAAACCTCATGGTATGTTTATTTGGTTCATATTAAACACATTTCACTAGAATTGAACTAAAATAAAAAATGTCGAATTTTTGGTTCATTTGACCTTGAACCAATTAGAAGCACTTTTAAACAAGTCTAGGTAGCGATCGTCAGTATGGAATTTTTGAGCTCGTTTATCAGACGTCACTTTGCGGGAAACCAGTGCTGGCGGGCGCCATGAAATTTCGGCTGTTTTCTTTGACTAATATCAAGCTCATTTCTTTTCAAATTGTATCCGGCTTTGCGTTTTTATTTCACTAGGGTCATTGCTTTGTGGCTGTGAATCCGCAAACGTTTGCTGATGGTTTTGAGGAGAGGATGCAGTGTCTGATGGATCAATACAGAAATATGGATCCCGTATGTTCTCCTGCAGTTTGTAACAAAGACAGTAAATACATTTAACGAAAAGTATCAAAGTGTAGTAAGAAAAAAAAGTGGCACTCAAAACGTTTTTCAAGGCCATCACTTGTTCAAAGCAGAATAATCGCGCAAAGATTTTCAAAGCTGCTTGTGTCTGGTAGCGTGTTTTGACACATGATGGCAACTGCTTAAAGATTTCTTCCAGCTTAGGCATTTCCAAGTCACTCAGAGCGCTCTTTGGACATTTTTCTTACTTGTAAACAACCCTGTTAACCTTTGAGGGCTTCACTTACTTAATTATCTCACAAACATTTTCAAAACTGCGCGTCAAGTTGAACAAGGCAAAGAAAACAAGTTTCACGTGAAGTCGCAGTCTATGTTTCTGCTCCGGTACTGTGAAAAATCATGGGCAAGAGCCAATCGCAGCGCGCGTAGCATTCACCACATTTTCTAAAGTATAAGACAATAATAAGTTTAAATGGTGCTGTGCAAAACGGCTAAGACAGAGCACGAGGACAGATAAAGCAGAGGATTCTATTTTTGGGCCAAGTTTAACTCAAAAGGTAAAATCCAGCATGTCAAGGTACTCTTTATTAGCTCAGTAATCCAGCTAATGGGAATATTTTAGGAGGAGGGCGAGCCAGCAGTTCTTGTAGCAGGCGATCCGGAAAGAGAGCACATGCGCAAAGTGAAGCAAGATGGTGGGATTTGTTATCACGTGAACATATTACACGCTTTGGTGAGTGTTTATACAGAAATTGAGAAGGAGATATACCAGGTTACCGTAAAATTCCGAAAATCCCCCAAACCGGTAACGCAAAAAAACCCTCCATTAAATCGCCCCTCCAATTGCCCTCAGATACAAAGTAAAACAAAGCAAAAACGGTAAATTTACTTCCAACTATAAGGCTAGCTCTATCGCTTTTGAAACGCAAATTTCTCTCCATAGATAAGCCCCTCAAAAAGGGTATTTGAAAAATATAAGCCCCGGGGCTTATTTTCGGAATTTTACGGTATATAAACCAAAATTGGTTGAGAATTTTTTCAAAGAAAAGGATATTTTCATAAAATTGCTTGGTATCCAGTCTTATGGAATGGCGTTAGGTGTTGCTCAAACAAAAATTGTAACCTATTATATGGACGTGGCTTAAAGCCTAAAAGCGGAGCTCCTTCAATACTAAATAATGAAATTTAGTTGAAACAATGAACTTTGAGCTATTTTAACCCAAATAAATACCCTGACAGAAATAAAATAACTAAACGTGAGGGAGAGATATGATGAAAAAGTAATAATCTGATCAGCGGATAATTTTTAAAAAAATATTTTCACTCTGCAGATAGTGTACTTTAGCTAGTGATACAGTCTCACAGGTTAGCGGACGCACATTTGGTCGACTGTCAATTGTTTTTGTTTGGATGACGTTTATTGCTCTCTCATCCTCATTTCAATATGACCGCTTGGGATCCTGGCTCAGTGACATTTCATACTGGCCCAATTAATTGGCTTGTACGTGCTAAGCAGTGCAGTCTTCTGATAACCAAAAATTATTGGTAGGATACGTCCCATTGTTTTTCTCCAGTCTTGAATCTTTGGCTCCTGGGGACAAGGTAAGCGTTGCGTGATGTCACTAAAGGAGGTTGCGTACGAGACTACGTTACACGGAGAAAGTGCGGGAATACATGTATAGGTAACGCAGTACAGCAGTAGGGGAACCAAATGACAGAGACATCTTGCGGGGGCACCCAACGACGGTCTCCTTCTAAATACATAGAAAACACTTTTTTGGCTATCCAGAGTACTTTTAAATCTCTAGAAATGTATTCTGAGTGGCGCTATAAAAAGTGTATCTGTTCGGTCATCCTAGGGGAACTTGAGTCTTTTCTAAATTACAAGGTCTTCAGTATTATTTTCCCGAAAATTTTACATGCAATTTAACGTACTGCAAAATTGAGAATTTTTCTGATTCCTCTCTCCACCACACTTTTAAATTCGAAAATGCTAGTTTTTTTCCCCGTACGAAAAATAGCCTAACCTGAGCAGTGAAATGTGAAAAATTAAACCTCAGATAATCGTTGGGAGTTTATTAGATAAGCTTCGAAAATTGAACATGAAGGGAGCGGTCCTCCAGAAATTTTTAGCCGTTCTCAAGAAATAGAAAATTCTAGGCAAAATTTGCTTCTCCGAATGGATACTTGTACAGAAAACTGTCGTTGGGTGCCCCTGATCTTGTTCTCCTTAGAACTTTATAATACACTTACATTAGTAAGGTTACGAGAGGTATAAATTACAGTACCAGGTTCTGCAACATTGTTTGCAAAATGAAATATTTCTAAGCAAGACAAATGGCTGCATTGTTTTAGATGCAGTCCCAGCCCCTTATCCCTCTTAGGTCATGCTATCTGTCACTGTAACGTGCTTCATAGTCTAAAGTCGTGGAAATAACTTCAGATTTCAAATAATGTCTATCATTTGAAGTGGAAAAGTAATGACTGGGAGATTTTTCTGCTTTTCAGAATGACCTTGCTGACAGATTGGGAGTGGCACATTTACCAACGTCGTGAAAACCACAGAGATTTGCATTTTCTGTGGCTACAACGCCGTACTCAATCTTTTTTTGCGTAAATCATCTTATCATATATCAGCCTGTTGCTGACCGAAGGTTTTGGCCTGGTTATTAGCTTATTTATAATTAACAATTAGTTCATGCGTCAGTGTGCGTATGTCGAGATATTAAGCACTCGGGAAGTTTGGAGAACACGAAAGTGGTGCGCCTCGAGCAACTCTAGCCTCTTGAGTGCTCTCCAAACTTTGCAAGGGTTCAATGTCTCGACATACGCACAGCTGAAGTATGAACTAATTGTTTTATAACGTTATCAAAGCGATCAACTCAGCAGTCAAATTGTTAGTACGCGTCAATGTCTGTGTGTCCCTATTTTTTTTACCTCGCAGTTATGTTTTTGTCTTGAGCCTGACGGAAAGTTTACTGAAGTCGGTTAAGAAAGCATTCAAAAAGATTGTAAATCCATATTATTTTGAGGTGCCGGAAAACTATCAACTCATCGAAAAGTCTTTTGGAAAGAAATGACTTTGCAAAGAGTGATTTGCACACACCATAGCCTGCACAGCTCGCGCAAATGACAACTACAACAACACTCACCTCTTTCCCCTACTATCGGTCAACAAATTCAAAAGATTGCTCTTACATTTACGTTATAAAACACATGGTTAACGCTTCATCGTGTACTGTTGAGTTCGTGTACTGTTGAGTTGGGACCATTGCTAGGCTCACAAGAACTCGAGGTATAGTTTATTGACGTCATTAGCGTGCCTAATGGGAATATGAAGCACGCTCGCGTTATTGAATTTGATTAGAGGAATATTCTATTGTAGCTATGTTATAAACCAAAATAAACCAGAGAAGCCATATAAATACAATAGAAGGTATTTTTGTCGAATAACTCAATATATATTGTTATTTATCTGTTTTAGTTATTTTTAGTTCTTATATACCTAAGCGATCAGAATGACTATAATCACGTGGATCCCCAGTAATTCTACATGCATGTAATAGGTGACGTAAGCAATGAAATCGATCAATTAGATAGATTGATGGAATCGTCTCAAGCACTCAATTTACTCCAATGGATCTCCCTGGTTGGACGAGGTTTTGGTTTTACCGATACTCAGCGGTACAAAATAAAGCGCTGTATCATCTGTTTTAGTTATTTGTGGCTCTTACATAAGTTTGTGCATAAGTGATCAGAAAAGACTATAATCACGTGAATCCCAGTAATTTTACAAGCATGTGATAGGTGACGTAATACATACACGCACTTTATTGGCTCGTCTCCACAGGGCTTTTCACAGTCAATGTTTTTAATAATTAAAAAACACACAAACACACAGACAGAGAACTAAAAACATAAAAATAACTTACTAAAGGAGACATCCAGTGGTAGTCGCCTAAGTCTACGCTTAAAACCAGTCACTGATTCGCTTAGCTTGAGTGCTGGCTGCAACTCATTCCATAATGACGCCGGGTTCGCACACTGGGGTCTTGAAAAGTCCTTGAATTCCATTTTTCCTTGAAAAGTCCTTGTGAATTTATGTGCAAGTCCTTGAAAAGTTCTTGAACTTTCCTCAGGTTTGAATTTAGCCGCTTGGAAAGTGTATTTTAATGCTTTTTGGTTGTCCAAGACAGAACATAAATCATAGCTCTGAGAAATTAAATGTGATTCATATTAAGCGTTTTTTTGTTTTATGCAATGAGTAACTATAACTTAAACACAGGCGAACTGGAAGATGTAGAAAAGTTGGTGGAGCAAACAGTTCAAACGTTAAAGTCCTCTTGAAATGGACTGGAAATGTGAATTTTTGTACAACCTGTGAAAGGTAGATGACCCTTGAAAATCGTATGTGGTTCGTGAAAAGTCTTAAAGACTTAAAACTTAGATGTAGACTTAAAACTGGATCTGAGGCAGCCTCGTTCCCAGTCGTCCTCGGCGATTTCGGATGTGACGTCACCTGTCAAGCTTTTCGGGAAAATTCGCCCAGGAAGCCTCGCGCTATCGCGCTCGGTTCCAAGCCTCCTCTGGTCACTCGGATAGCGCGAACAGGCCTGGGTACGAGGCTGGATCTGAGGTTGACTGGAGTACATATCGACGATTACGAAATCAAGTTTCCAACAGGATCAAAATTGAGAAGCGTCGTTATCAGGGAAACGAAATTCAGGATAATTTGGCCAACCCGAAATCATTTTGGAGAGCTATGAAGAGCATTTTCCCAAAAAAAGAGAGAAAATCTTCGACCGTTCAATCTATAATAACGGACGAGGGTGAAACCATCACTAGTAAATCAACTATTGTAGAGAAATTTAACATCTTTTTCACGAACACTGTGTCCAAGCTCCTGGAATCCGTTCAATCAACTACCATTCTTGGTCTCTCAGATGAAATGTTTACTAATGAAAGTTTTGTGCTTCAACCAGTTTCCCAAAACTTTATTTTTAAGCATCTGAAGGACTTAAAAGTGAAAAAGGCCACTGGTTTGGATGGGATTTCGGCTCGGTTTTTGAAAGACGGCACTTCGGTTATCGCTCCTACTGTGACATTTCTTGTAAACTTATCGCTCAGTACTGGAATTGTTCCATGTGATTGAAGATGGCCCGTGTCGTTCCTTTATATAAGTCTGGTGGACATGCAAGTATGGACAACTACAGACCAATCTCCATATTGCCGGTTATGTCGAAAATTATGGAGAAAGCTGTCAACGTTCAATTACAACGGTACCTACAGGGGTTCGACCTTTTGAGTCCATTTCAGGCAGGGTTTAGACAACACCATTCAACGGAGAGTGCTGTGCTTTATTTCACCGATGAGGTAAGAAGAAGTGTGGAGTCGGGAAAGTTAACAGGCGCTTTAATTGTTTATTGATCTAAGGAAGGTCTTTGATTCTCTGCCGCACAAGGAACTCTTATCCAAATTGAGAAGATTTGGCTTTGGAGAAAATTCGATTAATTGGTTTACAGCCATCTATCCGACAGATTTCAAGCTGTTTCCCTGGTTAACGAGTTGTCGAGTCCCTTAGCTGTCCTAAGTGGAGTGCCTCAAGGGAGTATCCTTGGTCCGGTTTTATTTACGATCTATATTAATGATCTACCTTCCTGTGTTGATGTCTGTAAAGTTATGATGTATGCTGATGACACAGTTATCTTTTTCTCGGCTCCACTAATATCGGAAATTGAGTTACAGTTAATCTGTCTTAGTGGCTGTCTACAAATAAACTGATTCTCAATTTAAAGAAGACTGAGTTCATGGTTTTTGGCACCCACCAGAGACTATGTCGCCAAGACATCGATGGGGCTCATATAACGTTGGGAGGAAAATCTGTGAAACACTGTGATGCCTTTAAGTACCTCGGCGTAGTATTAGACAACAGTATTTCCTTTAATTTGCATATTGACTATGTGAAGAAGAAAGTTTTAAAACACTGGGGATGTTCTCAAGAATTAGATCATCATTAACAACTGAAGCATCGAACCGACGGTATAAATCGATGATACTACCAAATCTGGAATACTGTTGTGCTGTTTTTCATGGCTGTGGTAAAGGAAATGAAGAAGAATTGGAACGCCTGCAGAGACGTGCTGCTAGGATAGTGCTAAAGTCGGTGCATTTGTCCACTCAAGATATGGCTTCCAGTCTTGGTTGGGACTCTGTTAAGACGAGAAGAGAGAAACATATCGTCAAACTTGTCAAGAATTGTCTTGATGGACAAGCTCCAAGTTATTTCTCAGATTATTTTCGACGGCGAACTTATGATATTTATGACTATGACACTAGGTCTAAGGATAGGTTATCTGTTGATAAAGTCAATCTCGAGTTGACTAAGAGGGCCTCTTTTTATAAGGGGGCTACCCTTTTTAATGATTGTATGTAGTTTTGTTCATAAGGAGGC